GGGTTTCACCATGTTGACCAGGATGGTCTCGATCTCTTGACCTCGTGATCCACCCGCCTCGGCCTCCCAAAGTGCTGGGATTACAGGCTTGAGCCACCGCGCCCGGCCTTAAAGATTAGTTTTAAGGCTACACGAGTAAACAAGTTATTTAGATAAACTCCTCTATATATTTTAGTTACTTGCTTTTTAAAATAACTAAATGTAAAGAGGATTTAGGCTATTTTTAGCTGAAACTTTTACGGAAACTATGTAAAAACTTTTCGGCCTCGTAAGCTTTGTGATTATTCTTTAAAGCTACCTTTAATATTTTTCCTTTAATACTTCTGCCACACCTTGAGTGAATCCTGGCATGTGAACTCATCAGGAGCTTCCTCTTTTGAGTTCCCAGAAAGAGCCACGCTGCAGAAGTTTCCCCAAGCTTCTTCTAACCCAAATAAAGTACAGGAGGGGAGTTAAGGAAATAGTCTAGAGCCAGGCACAGCAGTGCACACCTCTAACTCTCAGCTACTCCAGAGGCTGAGGTGGGAGGACTGCTTGAGCCTGGGAGTTTCAGGCCGACTATGATCACACCCGTACTCCAGCCTGGGCAAAGTAGCAAGCACCTGTTTCTTTAAAAAAAAAAAAAAAAGTCATTAAATTTAAGTGCTTCCCACGCCAGGTAGAAACCATTAAGGGAGGGACCTTTCTAGGCAGAGAAGCCCATGTGTTTACAGCCACATGGAGGAAGCTTCCCTGATCCCTCCTCCAGGCAAGCCATGTCCTCCTGTCTCTTTCCTCACACTCTAGTTCCCTGGAATTGCCAAGTGTGTCCCCAGTACTGGAAGCCATGGCTGCACACACATGGGGTTCTCTCTGCCTGGAAAGTGTCCCTTCCCTTAATGTTTTCCAACTCAAAGGGGACATTTAGTTTTTTTTTTTTTTTTTTTTTAGAAACAGGTTCTCAGGCCAGGTGTGGTGGCTCACACCTGTAATCCCAGCACTTTGGGAGGCTGAGGTGGAAGGATCACCTGAGGTTAGGAGTTCAAGACCAGCCTGGCCAACAGGGTAAAACCTAAAAAAAAAAAATACAAAAATTAGCTGGGTGTGGTGGCAGGTACCTGTAATCCCAGCTACTCAGAAGGTTGAGGGAGGAGAATGGTTTAAATCTGGGAGGTGGAGGCTGCAGTGAGCCGAGATTGCACCCTTGCACTCCACCTAGACAGGAGCAGGACTCTGTCTCCAAAAAAAAAAAAAATAAATATATACAAGGAGCAGGTTCTCATTATTTTGCCCAGGCTGCAGTGCAGTGACTATTCACAGGTGTGATCACAGCACACTACAGTCTCAAACTGCTGGGTTTAAGCAATCCTCCCCAGCCTCCCAAGCTGCTGGGAGTAGAGGTGTCCACCACCATGTCTGGCTTTTGAGTCTTTTAGCTGGGTTCGCTTTAAGTGCTGCCTTCTCTGGGAAGTCCTCTTAAATGTGCTCTTGCCAGCTAGGCACTTCTCTCAATCTGTCTCTCTCTCTCTATTTTTTTTTTTTTTTTTTTTAAAGAGATGGAGTCTTGCTCTGTGTTCCAGACTGGAAAGCAATGGTGAAATAACAGCTCACTGCAGTCTCCAACTTCTGGGCTCAAACGATCCTCCTGCCTCAGTCTCTCAAGTAGCTGGGACCACAGGAACATGCCATCATGTCCTGCTAATTTAAAATAATTTTTCAGCAGAGACAGGGTCTTACTAAGTCCAGCCTGGTCTTGAACTCCTGGGCTCAAGTGATCCTCCCACCTTAGCCTCCCAAAGTGTTGGGATTAAAGGTGTGACTCACTACGCCCAGGTGAGGATGTTTTAGAGCACTCTGCAGGCTTCCGTGAAACACGTTCCTTTTCATTCTGGGCTTATCTAATCCTCAGCTGGGTAACGTCATACCTACTGACCCTTTTACCTCAGGGGCCTTTCCCAGGGCAATATCAAGAGCAGGAGGGGAGGGGACCCTCCAGAATCCAGGGAGAGAAGGAAATACACTGCGGTTTTTCTTTTTTTGAGATGAAGTCTCACTCCATTGTCCAGGCTGGAGTGTGGTGGCACGAACTCAGCTCACTGCGACCTCTGCTTCTCAGGTTCAAGCAATTCTCTGCTTCAGCCTCCCAAGTAGCTAAGATTACAAGCACCTGCCACCACACTCAGCTGATTTTTTTTTTTTTTTTTTTAGTAGAGATGGGGGTTTCACCACCATCTTAGCCAGGTTGGTCTTGAACTCCTGACCTCATGATCCATCCGCCTCCGCCTCCCAAAGTGCTGGGATTACAGGTGTGAGCACTCTGCTATTTTTCTAGCTGACCAGTAGATGGGGTCAGAAATGAGGAGGTGACCAGCCAGTGTGGTCCAGCCGAGCCCCTAGGGAGAGTTAACACTTACCTAGGAATCCCTCCTCATCGACAATGATAGTGTAATCCTCTGGCGTCTCGGTCAGACTGAAGAACTTACACCTGGATGGACAGACAGACACGAAAGCTCTCATTAGTCCAAGTAGGTCCCCTGGGGCAGCCGCCCACCCGTGCCCCAGGGATGATGACTCAGTTTACCCAGAGCTCTAGCCCCAGGCTGCTGGGTGATCTTGGGTAAGTTCTTTGTCTTTTCCTTCATGTTCCCCTCCCCAGTCCTGACTCAGGAGAGCCACAGAGATGCTGACTGTCCCCACTGTAACCCTGTAATCTTTAGGGACCTTTGAGCCACTCAGCCCCTATGTCCAGGCCTGGGATCCCACTTTTTCGTGGAGGGAAGAAGTGGCCGAAGGGTGGCTCCAGTGCCAGTCGGGCAGAGAAGCCGTCTTTTTCACGGCCCCGCCACTGCAACTTCTAGGCGTCTGTCCCCATTTCCCCTCCCACTGTCCTGGCCTCAGCAACGCTGGAGCTCCCAGTCATCAAAATGCCTAATTCCCACCAGCTGACCGATGGCCCAGTCCTCAGTTTACATTCCATCCTTGAAGACAGAGTATGGCCATCCGTAACATTTTTGGGACATGGCTCTCTGCCCCAACTCATATCACCTCTGATATCACCACTCAGCCTGGGAGGGAGGGATGTTGCTCATTTCTCCCCAAAACAAGACCACCAATTTCCCAAGGACAGGGACCGGAACCCTGACCCTGTTGGTCTTGATCCTGGGCATCCCTTTGGTGCCCAGCTGTGTGTCCAGGCAGCCCTCAGGCGGGGTTTTGAGGCTTTTGTTCCCTGGGTGATGGGGGTCATCACCCCCTTAACGCCCATGTCCCTGTTCCCCATGTAGCCAGGACCACGCCCACTGCACTCTACAGGGTATCATAGGCAGAGATGGTAAGTCTGAGTGTGCACAGGCAGAGGCTTGCAGGAAACGGACCCCTGGCCACCTATCTGGTGTCCCGGCTCTCCAGGACAAAGCCAGGCATGGGCTCTGCACCCCCACCCATCGAGGGGAGCTGGGACAGAAAGAGGTCCATCAGTAACCCAGCTGTATTCGTCTGTTCACATGTTGCTAATAAACACATACCTAAAACTGGGTAATTTATAAAGGAAAGGGGGAGGTTTAGTGGACTCACAGTTCCACACGGCTGGGGAGGCCACACAAGCATGGCAGAAGGCAAAGAAGGAGCAAAGGCACGTCTTACACGGTGGCAGGCAAGAGGGTGTGTGCAGGGGAACTGCCCTTTTTATAACCATCAGATCTCGGGAGACTTATTCACTACCACAAGCACAGTGTGGGAAAAACCCACCCCATGATTCAATTATGTTCACGTGTCTCCACCCTTGACACATGGAGATTACTACAATTCAAGGTGAGATTTGAGTGGGAACACAGCCAAACCCTATCACCAGGCAAGAGGCAAAGATGCAACCGGAAGATCCTTCTGGAAAAGGGATCTTTGAGTGACAGTCTCCTCCCTGGCCTCCTCTCCTGTCAGCTGCCCTGCAGCCCCCTCATCTACAGAACCTCTTCAGCTCCTTTTTAAAATTTACTCCTGAAAATTTTTGCAAGGACATGGAGCCACTGGAACTCTCTTATGCTGCTGGTGGGGGTAGAAAATGGCCCGGCCCTTCAAACATCCATTTAGCAGTTTCTTTATTCTTTTTAGAGACAGGGTCTTGCCCTGTTGCCCAGGCTGGAGTGCCGTGATGCAACCGCGGCTCATGACGGCCTTGAACTCCTCAGTCTCCTGAGTAGGCTGGAACTACAGGCACGTACTTCCATACTACCACGTCCTGCTATTTTTTTTTTTTGAGACAGAGTCTCACTCTATTCCATAGGCTGGAGTGCGGTGGCATGATTTCGGCTCACTGCAACCTCTGCGTCCCAGGTTCAAGTGATCCTCCTGCCTCAGTCTCTCCAGCTTCTGGGATTACAGGCGGCCACCACCATGTCTGGCTAATTTTTGTATTTTTAGTAGAGACAAGGTTTCTCCATGTTGGCCAGGCTGGTCTTGAATTCCTAACCTCAGGTGATCTGCCCGCCTCCGCCTCTCAAAGTGCTGGGATTACAGGCATGAGCCACCGTGCCTGGACTGTCCAGCTAGTTTTTAAAACTGTTCGTAGAGATGAGGTCTTGCTATGTTGTCTAGGGCGGTCTTGAACGCTTGTCCTCCTTGGCTTCCCAAAGTGCTGAGATTACAGGCGTGAGCCACTGCACCCGGCCAGCAGCTTCCTGTGAAGTTCAGCACACACTGACCGTCCAGCCTCAGCTATCCTACTCCTGGGTATTCACCCAAGAGAAGTGAAAGCAGGTGCCCTCACAGAGACCTAGATGCCAATGCATATTGCCTTTGTTTGTAATTGCCCTAAATTGGAAACAACCCAAATGTCCTTCTTTCAATGGGAGAGAGGATAAAGTATGGCACATCCCCACGAGGAAGTACAGGTCAGCAACGAAAAGGAACAAACTACTGATTCATGCATTAACACGGACAGATCTCAAGGGCATCTACGGCCAAGCCCACAAGACTCCATACTGTATGATTCTATTCATATGACATTCTGGAAGAGGCCAAACTATACAGACGAATGATGGGCGGTTGCCAGGGGATGGGCAGACACTGACTGCAGAGGGGCATTGGGAAATTTTGAGGGGATGGGCCTCTTGATTGTAGCGGTGGTTACAAAATCATATGAATTCATATAAATTGCCAGGCGCGGTGGCTCACACCTGTAATCCCCCCACTTAGGGAGGCTGAAGTCGGTATATCGCCTGAGGTCAGGAGTTCGAGACAGCCCTGGTTAACATGGTGAAACCTCGTCTCTACAAAAAATGCAAAAATTAGCCGGGTGTGGCGGTGCACGCCTGTAATCCCAGCTACTTGAAAGGTTGAGGCAGAGAATCACTTGAACCTGGAGGGGGAGGTGGCATTGAGCTGAGATTGCGTCACTACACATCAGCCTGGGTGACAAGAGTGAGACTACGTCTCAAAAGAAAAAAAAATTCATATAAATTGAGGCTGAACATAGTGGCTCACACCTGTAATCCCAGCACTTTGGGAGGCTGAGGTGGGCGGATCACCTGAGGTCAGGAGTTTGAGATCAGCCTGGCCAACAAGGCGAAACCCTGGTCTCCACAAAAAAATGCAAAAATTAGTTGGGCGTGGCGGTGTGCGTCTGTAATCCCAGCTGCTTGGGAGGCTGAGGTAGAGAACCACTTGAACCTGGGAGGCACAGGTTGCAGTGAGCTGAGATCGCGCCACTGCACTCCAGCCTGGGTGTCAGGAGCAAAACTCCGTCCCAAAAAAAAGGAAAAAAAAAAAGAAAATAAAAATTCATATAAATTTAGGCTGGGCACGGTGGCGCACACCTCTAATGCCAGTACTTTGGGAGGCTGAGACAGAGGATCATCTGAAGTCACCAGTTTGAGGCCAGCCTGGCCAGCATGGCGAAACCCTGTTTCTACAAAAAAATGCAAAAATTAGCTGGGTGTGGCGGTGCTCGCCTGTAATCCCAGATACTAAGGAGGCTGAGGCAGGAGAATCTCTTGAACCCAGGAAGCGGAGGTTGCAGTTAGCTGAGATCGCGCCACTGCACTCCAACCTGGGTGCTTAAAGTAAGAATCCATCTCAACAAAACCCAAAAACCTTGCTTATAGCCACTACTGGAAAACAAAACAAAACAAAACACCGAAAACCTCACAAGATCATATAAATTTGTCAAAACCCAAGGAACTCGGCTAAAAAAGGGGTGAATTTTGCTGTACGTAAGTTATACTCGATAAACTTCAATTTAAAGAAAACGCCTGTCCTGTCCAGATGGCTCAGCCTTAATCCCAGCACTTTGGGAGGCCGAGGCAGGTGGATCACTTGAGGTCAGGAGTTTGAGACCAGCCTGGCCAACACAGTGAAACCCTGTCTCTACTAAAAAGATAAAAATTAGCCACTGATCCTGCCACTGCACTCCAGCCTGTGCAACAGAGCAACTCTGTCCGGGTCATCCATGAGGTGGCCTGTCCCCACCTCCGAAGGACGTAAGGCATTCTGCAACAACCTATGCTCATCAATTTCCCTCCGGCTCTTCGGTTTTCAAATGACGTCTCTGTCCCTGCTTGTCCCAAACCCAATTTGCAAGTATTGCCTGGATACATGAAATCTATAATTGCTTCGAGGACAACAGCAAATTATCACCACAGTAAGTGGCACTCACTGGTCAGGCCTGGCCTCTTCCTAGGGACCCCCACACGCTCAGAAAGAGCCCTGGACATCCCCGAGTCACCAGACTGCCATGAGCAGGTACTCCCTGGGTGGGGCGGGGCTGCCCAGCTGCCTGAGAGCCCTGGGGAAGCAAACAGACGCGGCCCTTGCTCCCGGCACCCTCGGCGGTGAGGGATGCTCCAGAAATAGACCACGCAAATTATTCCGGAGGGCATAAACACCAGCAGAAAGCAACAGCGGCCTGTGTGTAAATGGAGTATAAACATGTTGCTGAAGTGACCTGTCCCCAGGGGCTGAGCGATTCTGTGGCTCTGCCAGCTATGGGACATCTCAGAATGTACACCTTGGCACGGGCAGGCTTCGAGGAGGGCGGATCAGCCAGAGGCAGCTGCTGCCATCGCTCTGCTGGTCACCCTCAGGAGGCAGCCCTCAGACTCCTCTCCCTCCCCTTGACCCCATCTTTTTTTTTTCTTCTTTTTTGAGACAGGCTCTTGCTCTGCTGCCCAGGCTGGAGTGCAGCAGCGTGATCTCAGCTCACTGCACCCCTGACCTCCTGGGCTCAGGTAATCCTTGTAGCTCAACCTCCCAACCAACTAGCTTGGACTACAGGCGTGCGCCACCACGCCCACCCCGCCTTTTGTTATGTTTTGAGATGGATTCTTGCTCTGTCACCAGGCTGGAGTGCAGTGGTGCCATCTGGGCTCAGTGCAACCTCCGCCTCCCAGGTTCAAGCAATCCTTCTGCCTCAGCCTCCTGAGTAGCAGGGACTACAGGCGTGTGCCACCATGCCCAGCTAATTTTTTGTATTTTTAGTAGAGACGGGGTTTC